TAAAAGGGTAAAGGAGTAGAAGTATGGATATCCTGGGAACATTCTAGAGTCACAGGAGCAAATATGTATTATGGGAAAGTCCTCAGAGATTCTGATCCACCCATGTGAGCAAGACGTCTACCTGCTCTTTGACAATCACTGACATTGATGGAAGTCCTAGGCTTTCTTCTTTCAACGTTATGAACAATTTGGATAGCATACTTAGAAAATTTGCCAATGACACAAATTTGCATGCTATAACAAATATTAAACACACTGAATGCAAAATTTAAGATCTGAATGATCTCAACTTGAAACATGGGATCATTCTAATAAAAATTGTTACGTAAGAACTCTACAGATTAAGAATGGGAAGTGAATTTGGGGAGAGTTATTTAGGGGGGAGGGTACTGGGGATTGAATTTAGGCCACATCCCCAACACTATTTTGTACTTTATTTAGAGACAGGGTCACACTGAGTTGCTTAGCATCTTGCTGTTGCTGAGGTTGACTTTGAACTCGCAGTCCTCCTGCTTCAGCCTCCCAAGCTGCTGGAATTACAGGCATGTGCTACTGCACCTAGCTTGGGAGAGGTATATGTTTAACAGAAAAATATCTGAAGAAGATTGAGGCTATGGATATGGCTCAGTGGTAGAGTGCTTGCTTGGTATTGGACTTGCCTGGTATTGGACTATAATTGCAGGATAGCTGTAAACTCAATAGTTTCACTATATAGAGATAGATGTAGAAATAAAGATGTGAATTTGTGTATATATGTATGTAATTGCAAACATGTGTGTGTGTGTGTGTGTGTTCCCAGCTCTTTTATTGAGATTAAAAGCAACCACACAACAATAAGCCACACCTAGTGCTTAGCTTTTAGGGTTCTAGTTACCATGCCCCATTCATGAATCTATACACAAACACACACACACACAAAACAAAACCCTGCAGCCACCAAAGAGCTTCTTGAAGAAATGGCTGACTCCAAGGCTTGGACTGACCAAGGACAAGACAAGAGAGGAATGTCTTGTGCCAGACAGTAGAGGACACTCCTTTATGGGGAGGTGTTCATAGCCTCCAAAGATATGAACAGGCTGATTAAGACATGGATGAAATCCAGAAATGTTAAACACTGAGACATACATCTAATAAAACAGGTTCAAAATCTATATGAAGAAAACTTCAACCCACAGCCAAAAAAAAAAAAAAAATGCTGTTGATACTAAAAGGATCAGCAAGAAAAACAAAACAAAACAAGTTGGATTTCATTCCGCTGTTATTTATTTTATTAAAAAACAATAAAAATAAAAACTTTTGTATTATTAGTGAGGACACTATCAAGAAAAAGATAACTCAGAGAATGTGAGAAAATATCTGAAAAGAAATTAATATCTGCTGGGTTTCTGTTCTCGCGACTAAAAGGCTCAGGGGTCACTCCAGTTAAACTGGGCTAACTGGGCTGCACAAAATAACCACGCAAGAGACACAAATACCTTTATCTTTGGGGTTGCTGTGCCGGCTCCTCTGACCTTAAGGGTCCACAGAAAGAGAGAGCGAGAGCACGTGCTGACCCCTTTTATTGAGGAAAAGCTATTCAAATGAGGCAAGGGGTCAGGTTTCAGGGGGCTGAGTCTATCTTCATGATGTCCACTGTCAGCAGGTTGACTGACACCTGGATAGGCCACACCCTAGGGTACAGTAAGAGAAGGGGACACACACACACAAGGCACTTCCATGGAAGATTCTACCCTAAGCAGGGCAAGGGGTTATATTACAAAGGAACAGGTGAGCATAGCTTCACCAATGGGGCTGTAGCAAGACACACCCATTTCTGTGACTTAGCGCCTCATCACCCAGTTGGGGAGTGTAACTCAGTCACCTGTGAGGTTGGCCTCCCACAAATATCCAGAATATTTTTAAAAAATTATTAAAATTCCACATAAAAAAGACAAACATCCCAATTAAAACCTGGACAAAGGTAAAAAATGGGCATAAACCTAACAAAATCTGTATAGTATAGCTATGGAAAAAAACTATGAATCTATGAAAGAAATCAAAGAACTAAATAAATGGAGAGAGACTGGGTGTTCATGGATAGAAAGACTAAATATTGTCAATTTGTAAGTTCTTCCCAACTTGAAATATAGATTCAATGTAATCCCAACAAAATTCCACTAGGTTACTTTGTGGTATTTGACAAGTCTCTTTTGTCTAATTGTTCTTGCCCCTCTCAGGTGCTCTAGGGGCTCCTGCACTTGGTGAAGTCTGGTGCCCTCTTGCTGGAGCCCTGAGCCAGGCCCACGCATGCCATCGATTTTAATGCTGAATTTTACTTCATGTGAACATTATCTTAATTTTAAAAAATGTAATGTTGAAACCAATGATATGACAACACATTTATTCATAAAGTTATCAAACACTGTCGGTATAGTGACCCAGGTTCATTAAAAATTAATTAACTACCTATAGATAATTATAGAGAAATGTGACCATTTAAATTTGTCTTGAGAGCAGTTCTCAACAAAGTTTTATAAACAGCATTGGCAAAAGGACAATAATCTAGTCTCAATATAGAGAAAGGGTTTTTTTTTTTGTTGTTGTTGTTGTTTTTTGTATAGAGGACTGAATCCAGGGATTCTTAACCACTGAGTCACATCCATAGCCCTTTTTACATTTGTTGTTGTTTTGAAACAGGGTCTCACTAAGTCATTTAGGGCCTTTCTAAGTTCCTAGGTTGGCTTTGAACTTGTGATCCTCCTGCTTCAGCCTTCTGAGACACTGGGATTACAGTGATGAGCTACTGCATCCAGCAAGGAGGGTATTTTTTAATTTTGTTGTAATCCCTTCAAATGTCAAAATAGGTTTACATGTATAATGTAGTGTGCAAACACTGAGATACAGCCTAGTCTAGTGGGGAGTCCGAAGCCAGAGTTTCTGGGTTTGACTTTAGCTTTTCCATTGGTTAGCTTGGGCAAGTCATTTATTTAATCTTTGTGTTTTCTTTTCTATAGGGAATTATAGTACCTACCTAATAGGGTTGTTGTGAGGGTTAAATGAATTAACATAAATGAAGTGCTTTGCAGGGAGCTTAGCATATAGTAAGTGCTTGATAAATGTTAACAAACAAAACTTCTGCTTCTTTATTACCACTTTAACATTTGTCACCCAATAGCCTCATCCTGATCTCCAAACCCAACTCCAAACACAGACTCTGTGAACTCTTTCCTTCTCTTCTTCTTGCCATTATCACTTACTTTGTTGGCAATATCTCACTCTTTCCAAGATAAACCAGATGAGCTGGTTTGAACTCCACCTCCTTCTCTGTCTCATTTATTATCATCCATTCTCCACGCAAGATGACACAGAATTTCCCTTAGTAATAGAAGGCCTGGGTGGCAGTGAAAACTCTTAGAAAGCATCTAGAAAAGTAAAAATACCTCTTTCTGGATGGTAGGGAAATGACCATGATCATTTTGTAACAGCTAATACATATTGAGCCACTTCAAAAAAGAGAACTAGAGTCAATGAGAGAAAAGTCTAGGAAGCAAGATTTTGCTCAAATATGAGTACCTTTTAAAAAAATTTCTTGCCCAAATGATAATTCATATAAATAAACAGATTCTTCCATATTTCTGCAATCAAAAGGGTGGAAGATAAATCTGCTATTTTCAATTCTAAAAATGTCATTTAAACTCTGTATTTATTTATATTAATGCAGATTAATTAGAAAAAAGGGACCAAGGCATACTGTCTGAGTAAGCAAAGAATAATTGTAGACTATGGATTGCTTCAATACAATTTTAATATTGTTATTAAGAAGCGATAAAGCATAAGAAGCAAGAAGAAAAAGGCCTATTTAGGTAGCAATTAGAAAGATGACAGAACACAGAATTGATTTGAATTTGTTATTCAATTCTTTCCCCACTTCAGGTTAGTCTGCACCACCCCTTCCTTCAATTTCCCCACTTTCCCTATTTTTTGCGTTCTCTTGCCAACAAACTCAGTCCTGACCTGTGCTACCGGTAAGTCACAGACTTTCTCTTCCCTCTGAATTGCTTCCACCGGGGTTAACTTTGTTTAGCAACAGATCCACGCTAGATTGCTTGTCTCTCAGCCGGTTTGCCTTAAGACACCAGCCCCCTGCTCCTAGTGTCACGGGCTCACACGCAATGGGAATTCTTGAAGCCAGAGACCTTCTGTCCGGGGTCTGATGGCTGAGAATACTAGCACAGCTGTGCAGCGCGCGCAGGGCACCTTCAGCGGCGTGGGCTGGGCCGGGTGCAGGGCTCCAGCAAGAGGGCGCCAGCGCTCACCGAGCGCAGAAGCCATGAAGCCCCCGAGAGGGGGCTTCGTGACATTTCCTCAGCCAGAGTCCTGGGCTCAGTCATCTTATTAAGAGTCTCTCTGCCAGCATCCCCCACCCACACTTTGCTTTTCTACCAGCTTCATGTTGGTTGTGGCTGCCCACTCACTCCTAGCTTTAGAACCGACCCCTCTGCCCCCCGAATGCCCCCATCCGGGGTGCGACCCCAGGAGTCCCTTCTCACTGAGACAGCGCTCCTGTGGACAGGGTCCTACGCTAGGCTCCCAGAGGGTCCACATCGCCTTCTCTGCACCCAGAGAAGAAAGGAGGGGCTGTGGGGCTGAGGCAGGGTGAGAGCCCGGGAGGTGGAGTGGGTGGGGGACCTGGAAGGGCGCCGGGTCCGGAGAGAGGAGGGAAGAAGAGGCCAGACAGGGGCTTTTGGTTTCCCGGGGTCTGATTGGAGGTTGGCCCGATGAGTCGGAGCTAGGGGCGCGCCCATCTCCACTGGCTCCAGCGAGAGCCGCCCGCTCGGCCCCTCCCCGGAGCCGCTTTGTCCCGGGTGACGGCGGCGGAGGTTGCGGGGAGGAGCGGGCAGGAGGCGCAGACCCACCGACCCAGGGACCCAGAGTCCGGGAGGCGGGGCGCTCGGCGCACAGCCCCACGCCCAGGCCCGCACTGCGCGCGCCTCCACACGCTCCTGCACCGGTCCGCAGGTGAGCAGGCAGCTCCGCGCCCACAGTCGCCGGCCCCCGCGGACTGCCGGAGCCGCCGCCGCCGCCGCCGCCGCTGCCTCTGCCTCCGCGGCGCATCGCGGACGCCCTGCAGGTCGGTTATGTAACCACGCCGGCCGCTCTCCACTGTACCCCGTCCCGCCAGGGCTGACTGCGGTGGTACAGGGTGATCGCGGCAGGGGGCAGACAAGCGCGGCCGAATTTGGGGACTGGGAAGGGGCAGCGGGGGCCAGAGGCTCTCTATTCACCTATTGGTCAGTCCTTGAAGCGGCAATGGTGTGAGGTCTCCCAGGACCCCTCTAGGAGGCGCATGTCAAGGAGCCCCTTCCCCATTCCTAGTGGCCCAAGGGTTCGCTTTCTCAAGAAGCAGCAGCAGGTGCATATGTGGAGGACCGAGAATGACTACTGTGATCCCCCCAGATTGAGGCTTGGAAAAGGGGGTGAGGGAAGTCTGACCACCCAAAGATCAAAGGAGAAAAGAGACCACTTTCTTCCCAGGGCTTAACGGAATGTTCTGGGGACAAGGAAGGTGCTTTAAGGCACAGCAGGCTGGAATTTTGTCCTGCTTGGGATTAGCGGGCTTGGGTCATCTAAAAATAACTTCAAGTTTGAAAAGTGAAATGGACTGGAGCGTTGGGTGCTGGGTTCCTCCTGCCTGTGGGATGCTTCGCTCCAGAAGTCATCAGAGGGAACTGGCAAATCCCAGCCGCCTGATCCCTCAGCTGCCTCTGGATCTCGCTGGTTTCCAGGGTGCCTCGGTTTGACTTTTAGTTAATGATTTATTCTCCAAGGCTTTTTCTTACCCCCTAATGGATTAGAGCAGAGTGTATGCTTTGGACACTTTCTTGTTTCTTCCATTGGGGTAGAGATGATTAGTGGACATCTAATGAGCCCAATGCCAAAGCTATTTTTTTAAATCTTGTTTTAGTAAAAACAAAAGGTTTCTTATAAACGTCCACAATTTTCCATGAATGAAGATGAAAAGATTCTACAGCATTCCAGCTCTCCCTTCTCTTTAGCCAGCATGCCACCTATCATACAAACTGGAGGCTTTAGGAGAAGTAGGACATTTTTCTTTTCAATGCAACTCAACTCTCACACCTTCATCATCCTTAATTCCACCAACTTCCAAACCAAGCACAAGTCTATCACAGGCACAGGGTAACACTTGCTAATGAGCCCTCCATTCTGGGCCTACAGTGAAGATGGACATGCCCAGACATTGGAAAGGATCAAGAAGCAGGTTAGTATCAATAGCAGAAAAGGCAGGGGAGTGACCACTTGGCTGCCTTTCAGTATCCTGATTGATTTTCTTTAGCTTTAGAGCTATTATATTAAGTATGATTATGATCAGTCTTTGAGTTCAATTAGTCTAAAAGGTGTGTGGCACTTGGTTTTCCAATTCACTACAAAACAAATCGGCATTTATTGAGTCCTTACTATCTGAGTTCAGTCCTCAGGATTTTGTGAGTGGGAAGTGTTCTCAACTAAACTTACAGAATCTTAAGAGCTTTGAAAATGCCTAGTGTATGCAGGTCCTGAAGAACTTACCTAAATCTGGGAGCACGGGGCTCTCTCCAGAGAAGAATAATTTACAGACATAAATGCCAACTTGAGAGCTTTCTCATTTGCTTTCTCATTGCACACCCTTTAAAAAAAACTACATGCATAGTTATTTACAGATAGTCATATATAGTGCAGAAACTAGCGTTCACATTGTTGAGATCAAATTTGACAGTACTGAGGCCCCATTTTCCTATTCCTTTTACTTTCTATACCATCCACTTGATTGATTCTAGCACCTACTGTGTCCTACGTAGGTCCTGTGCCAGGGACTAAAACAATGAGGCACATACTTCCCAGAAATCAATCTATCAGGAAAGGATAAGAAAATAAATGATAGTGATTCAGCATGGTGAATGTTTAATGCAGATAAGAACAAGTTCAGCAGCAGCTGAAGGAAGGAAGGGTACAAGGAGTCTGGAGGAGTTGGCAGGAGCATCCTCATTTGGACTGGATCTGAAAGGGTGGTTGGAGTGCTCTAGAGAAGGCACTAGGCATTTTACGTTGAAAGTGGTGGAAAGTTCCCTTTCAAAGAAAAATAGGTGTTCTGAGGTGAGGGGTTGGCAGGAGAGTTCGACATTAGAAGATGTTAGAGAACCTGAGTTGTGAATATACTTTGTGGAAGAGGAGAAATATACAATCTTTAATATGATTTATTTTAATGTATATTTTGCAAAATATAAATTTGGAGATGGTAAGGAGGTAGGATTGCAAAAATGAATGAGCTCAGAATTGAGAGCATTGGTCCAGCAAACACACACACACACACACACAATTAAGTGTGCTTGAACCAGTTGGAATAGGGGAAAGTTATGGGAGATCTATAGAGAGCTATGTGAGAGGGAGAACAGGTAGCACTTGGTCACCAAATAGCAATTGGTATAGAAGGAGAAACTTATATGTTAGGTGGATATTCAGGCCTTTGATTGAGGTAAGAAGTCAATGAGAAACAGCAGGTTCAAAGAAAATAGCAATTTAAACATTTTGAACATCAAAATGAAAATTCCCCTGTAGGCACTTTAATTTTCAAATGTAACTTCTTCATTCCTGCTGCTAACCTTCTGCTGATCTTACTTACCTGAGACTGTCTAGGGCTGCCTTTGGCAAAGAAGGAGATTAACTTGATGGCAGGAACTTATTTCTACCTCTGTTTCCAAGAGTGAAAGCATTAACTCAGTTATTTGAACTACTACCAGTGGCCATAATAATGATAATGAGAGCAATGTCTAACGTTCATTCAGTGCATATTATATGCTGAGCACAAAGAAGTTAGAATTGCACTTAGATTATCACATTCAGTCCTGCTGCTTACCCTGTGTGGCAGGTGCTGTTGTTTCTCCCACGTAATTGATAAGGAAAGCAAAGCCAAGAGAGGATGTCTTGTCTAGGCATACACTTAGTAAGATTTATATCTAGTGTTGAAGTCAAGGTTCTCAGTATTCTCAGTTGCCATTGTGAATTGATAATAACTTTGAAATAATGCCTATTTATCCCATTTATCTCCCTGTGTTTGAATATTTGTGGCTGTAGCCATAAAAGAGAACTGGACTGAGTCAGAAGTCCTGGCTTTCAACTGGTTTCTGCACCTGATTTGTTGTATAGCTTCCTCTCCGGCTTCAGTTATTTTAAATCTGCATCACAATAGAAGAGGTTGGCTAGGTGCTCTTCAAGCAGCCTCAGTATTCTGAAATCCTGCCATCCTGTCTCAAATTCTACTACTAGAGCCTTTGTTTTTTGGTTAAGATTGTGCCTACCTGTCACTTTTAGAATACAAACACCTTTGCAGAAGAATTAACTCAGATGGTGCCTTGTCCTTGAGGGCCTGGTGTGAATGAAGCCATAGTGCAGAGCTAAAGGGACTATCTAATGTTGAGGGAGCCCAGTTCAGGGGAGAATCTTTCATAGGCTCTAAAGTAGAGGAATCTTCATAGTGATTGATCACATTCTTTACTTTAGATGTTACTTAAGCTCTGTGAGCATTTCCTAACAAACTTGTCATAATGTTGTGAGTATTGAAACAGATAATGATGTAAACTAGGCACCACCCATCAGTTGACCTCATTGAAGGTGCTCAGGAAATGGGGGCCTCACCCCTTGCCTCCAGAGTCATGGACTTGGAGAAAGAAAATGTCAAGTGCTTTGGAAGACAAACTTTCATACTCCATAGTTTTGATAAGGGCCAACCCTAAGTTGAGTATCATCTATCTATCTGTCTTAGAAAGAATTATATGCTGGGAATACAAAAACACACAGCACTTTAAAACATTCCAATGTATGAATTGCTCACATGTGCATTAATCAGTTACCCGCTTAGATATAAAGAAGCTTCAACATTCTACCTCACAGAACTTTGAACTCTTCTTTTGCCAGCTTATGAGGAGGTCAAGTTGCTATAAAGAGATAGTATTGTCTAGGGTTGATGATCCTGGGTTCTAGGATTATGGTGAAGAATATCAAGGGGACAGAATGACTTCCTATCAATTCTGCATCTGTGCATGTTTGCATATCCATCTTCCTCAAGTGCTTTTTGCCCTTGACTATAAAGTAGACACTGTCCTTGTATCTTTGCTGTGTTACCAACTGCCAGGTGTCATATATTATAGACTAAATTAATGAATGTAGTTGAGGAATGGAGGAGCCATAATCTTAGCTGAAGCTGGTTTTTTAAAATAATAATAAATTGTATGATTATGGATGGTGCTTTTTAGAAGTTAAAGAAATGTTTCCAAGAATAGCTCAAATATCCTGTAATTCAGAATGCCCACAGAAATATTTTCTATAGTGGGGTGGGAAAAGACTATACTTTCATATTTCATCTCCTCATGCTCAACTCACTCTGAAACAAGGGCCGAAACAGAAATCCTGAGTTTTGGAATATCTGTATGAAAAGACATTTTAGTGGCCACTTTTGGACAAAAGAACTATATAATTTGTGAGCTAGATCCTCATTTGTATCATAGTTGCTTTTGTGGGAATAACCACATTATTCTTTCATGTGATTGACATTTGCCTGCCACAAAATATTGAAAGTTCTCTAAGGCCATCAGCCATGTCTGAATACATCTCTTCCAGTGTTGGGGTGGAGGTATAAAAAGCAGGGACTTGGCATGAAAAGGCCAGGATTCCAATCCTGGTGCTGTCACTTTCCAGCTATGTGACCTTGAGCTTCCCATTGACCTAACAGTCATAGGAGCTGGCATTTGTTGAATGTGGCCCCTGTTCCAGACACTTTGCTCAGCAAGCTGCATATATTATCTCAGTTAATCCATATAACAACTCCTGGGGATAGTTATTATCATCACTATTCACAGGTGAGTACACTCTGAAGTCAGGGGGAATAAGCCACTCAGTGCCAGGTCTCTGAGTTGCAGTTATCTGCAAATCTGGAAAATAATTCTTGATTTCCCCATCTTACAGAGTTGTGAGGGTGACCTGCTACATGTTTGTGCACTGAAAACTAGAATGCTCTGCACAGATGGTAAGGTAACTATTGTAGTAGGGACCTCCCACAAGACTAGTTATGGTTGAGTC